TATTTAAATGTCAGCAGACAGCAAGAAGCCTCCCAGATCTCCAGATGCATTTGAGATATCAAAAAAGTACTCCAGAGTGTTGTTCAGCATGGGTGTGAGTAGAAAATGAAGGCTAATCATGCTTTGGGTGTACTATTCCTTTAAACTCCCTAGCAGCGTCTGCTGCGTCTTGTCAGCTGACCGGATGGAATCATCCTAATTCTCTGGGGACGGACTGAACTGTCAAATCAGGTTAGTGACTCACTTGTTCATAATCCTCCTCCATAAGATTATCTTGGTCACTAACCTGTGCTTCTCTCTTGTAGAGGTTCCTGCCTTAGATGCTCAGGCAGCAGCCACTACAGAACCGTTCTTTAATAAACGCTTTTGAAGTTATCCCACTGTCTGTCTGGCCTGAATACTTATCCCTCTGTTCTGAGTCATTAAACAGTCAATATGCACTTTTATGGTAAACTCTTTTTTTAACAAGTGAAACTAGATTCATTTTTGGCATTTTCTTTTTTAAAGGATTATTAAATAAAACAAACTTAAAAAAAAAACTGATTTTATAAAGTCTGAACTAAAGTTAAAAATCTCATAACCTGTGTTTTTTCTGTGTTGTTACCTCAGCCAAAAAAAGGCTTTTTAATTAGGCAGAGGATTTGAAGTAGGATGCCCATGGGGGAAAAAAAATCCATCGAAACAAATTATGAATCCTAAGGCCTTGAAATCCAGAAATCTAATTAAACTGCTGTACAGTGTTTTATGTAGCTGGAAACCAAATCTACAAAGTTGTCAAACCACTTAGGTACAGGTTAATGCAGTGACCTGAAAGGAAACATAAGGTACTTGAACCTTTTGGTGCTACAAGTTTTCAGATGTGTTATTTCACCACGATTCTCACAGCTGTAAAACATTTTCAAAGAAAACACCAAGAGACATAAATTATCACCTTATTATTTTCCTTTAACACAAAAAAACAAGTTAAGCACATCATGTCTTGCCAGTTATCATACATTTTAATGATAGGAATATAACTGTGCATGTCTCAAATAAAAAAAAAAACTGACCTTTCTGCTTGTTACATGTAAACATAAAAAATACCTTAACATTAAATGGCCAAACAAAAAAAAAGGTCACAACTCTTCATTGAAACTCCTGCTTTAAATGCAACCTTTAGGAGACAGAAAATTCAGAAAATATCCAAAATGTAGCAAAAACCAGAAGAAAACATTTAGAAAGCAACCCTTTTTGCTTTTTTTTTCATAAGCTGATTAAAACATCTGATTACAGCAGCATTAGAAAATGGATGTTTTTATTTAAAACAAGAAAAAAAAAGAAACACTGAGATTACAATGTTTTTTCTTTGATATAACTTTTACTCAGTACAGTCATAGTTTTTCCAAGCATGGAATTAATTAACAAGAAATAACCAACTATTGATATATTTTCATAAATATGTAGGACCAGTAAATAGTCAAAATTAGTCTAAATAATCTGTAGCTGAGAAATAAACACGTCTCCAGTCTAAAAAAAACCTTAAGGGTTTTTGTTGTTAAAAAGCTCCCAGAATGAAATAGTTGTAATTATTTTAAAACAGATCTAGAGTTTTCTACTCATTTCAAGCCAACCCTAGTTCCAGTCCCTTATTGCATGCGATCCATAGTGCCTTGCAAAAGTACAACACAGACCACCATGGATTTTATTGGAATCTTATGTGATAGAGGAACACAAAGTAGTGCAAAAAACACCCAAACATTTAGATAAAGTTGAATAAGAATCTACGGAGCCCCTAAAGGGACATGGAGGGAAAAAAATAACTTTTGCGAGATCCCGCGAAACTTTTGCGGGATCTCGCAAAAAATTTACTTTTGCGAGATCCCGCAAAAAATTTACTTTTGCGAGATCCCGCAATACTTTTGCGAGATCCTGCAAAAGTATTGCAAGATCCTGCAAAAGTATTGCAGGATCTTGCAAAAGTATTGCGAGATCTCGCAAAAAATTTACTTTTGCGAGATCCTGCAATACTTTTGCGAGATCTCGCAAAACTATTGCGAGATCTCGCAAAACTATTGCGGGATCTCGCAAAAGTTCTTTTTTTCCCCTCCATGTCCCTTTAGGGACTCCGTAAGAATCTATATGTATGCATAAGATGTATTCAGCCATGTAATTCCAAAACCCCCAAATAACATCCTGTTTATCTGATTGGTTGAAGAGGTTATCCAATTAGAAGTGATAATGAGTGTGATGTAAGCTCAATTTAAATGCAGCCGTCTCTGAAACCTGCTGAGGTTCAGAGAACACCAGTAAATGAACAGCATCATGAAGACCGATGACTATAGTGGTCAAGTTCAAGATTAAACTTTTGGCTACCGGTAAGTTTATAAAAAAAATATCCTTGCAGATCTTACAGAGCAAACTAAGAAGGCAACAGTAAATGTGGAAATCTAAGTGGAAAACTATCAGCTATAGACTCCACAAAGCTGAGGCATGGGGGAAAAAATTGTTAAAAGTAAGCCCTTTTGCAGTGTTTCTTTTATTATTAAGTATTAAATCAAGTAGGATGAATATACATACATAGTTTTTTTTTTGTAAAGAAACAGAAAACCTCTACGTTGGCCTGTCACATGAAATGCAAAATATACACCAAGGTTTTCAAGGTTTTCCTGCTTCAGCACAGCCGATTTCCATTTATAGCTGATTAACAGATGTGCAATAATCAGAATCATCTGTGCTGAAGAAGAGAAACCTCTAAAACTTCCAAGACAGAGATCCTCAAGGACCGACTGTGGACATGCCTGATTCAGACCATCAATGATAACTATCCTAACCAGACCAAGGGAAGGTCTTAAGAATTTCTATAAGAGAGTGAGTGAATGAAATATTCCAAAACGGCCATATTTTCTTTAAAAATCACACAGGTAAAACATAACAAAACAAACAAAAAAACATAAATAAAGGAAAGACAATGATTAGCAAGGATCATACATTCCTCAATCATGATCAGGGATGCGTGATCCTCTTTATGCATCGTCACAGTTTGCTTTCAGACGGCCGAGGCTGACACGTGAGTGCGAAGAGCTTGGAAGTGAAAAACCTCTCCCCTCTGTGTGTGCAGCCTATTAGCCCCCTGCAGGCATTAGGTGTAGTGTGTTGGATTCCATGCCTCTACTGCTGCAGGTGTAGGCGTAGTGTGTAAAATTCCACCGGGTGATGTTAAGAGAGAAGGCCATCGTTCTAAAAAGATGCGATCATATTATGATCCACCCAGCCTTGGCTCCAAGGTTTAAAAAGTAAGGCATCGCAATCCCCCTGTGTCTGTATCATAAACCAAACTGGTCAGGTGTATAAACACATCTTAACCCTGACGCTGGGACCAAAACATGTCAAAAGGAAAGAAGCAAAGAGCCGTTACTATAGCAACGCATTTTGTTGTTTCCAAAATGGTGGATTTAATTTGACACTCCCTTCCGGGCAGTAGGGAGTGCTCCTGTTCCGTAGGTGGGTAAACATCCTTTAGATGTTTAAAATATCCAGAGGGGGTGCAGGTTGCGTGTTTAGGAGTTGCAATCAAACAGAAGCAAAAGTTATGAGCTTCCCATCCATGGTTTTAAACAGGATTACAAGTTAAGACAAGGGATCACATGGAAAAAAAAATATGTAAAAGCAAAAATATTCGCTCTGAAGCCACGCATTCAGTTTAGCTATAAAAAAAAAAAAGGTTAACCACAATGAAGCTGCTTAATGGATTTTCGTCAGGAGAATTTAAAAGCCAAAATAGGAGCATCCCAAAGGATAAGGAATGTAAGAACTTTGGCAGGGATATGAAATGCAATAAAGATGAAGGAATAACTAAGAGCAGCAAAGGAAAATATCTCCCTAACAACATTGTGTTGTCTGAAGTCAATAAAGCTGCAGTGGGGTGTTAAGTAATTATCAAAAGATTTTTTTTTCTTTCCAGAAATCCCATGTGAACATAAAACCAGACGAGAAGCCCGTGCAATCAGAAGACTGTCACCAGTGGAGTTAAAAAAAAACAAAAAACTGTCGCATCAAATCTTTCTGAAGATCAGGATAGGAGTATTCTCATAAAGTTAAGTACACAACTTTAAGGTTAACTCAGCAAAACTTCAAGAAGTCTGTTCATCCAAATTGTTAATATGAACTATTTTTGCTCCTCTCCAAGGTGATTCTGGGGTTTTGAATCAGGACCCTTCTTGGAAAACTTCCTTTTAGGGATCTCGCTGAGGGAAAAGGGAAGCGAGAGGTCAGAGGGAGACTCTTTCCGCGCCACAATGCAGTCCTTGATGGCCTCTTTAATAACCTTAAAAAAACAAAACAAAACAGAAGAATTAGATACAAATTGTGATGATGCGGAAAAACCTAAAGGAGGCAATTTTGAATACTTAAGACACAGCAATATAGACAGACACACAGTTTCAGATGGTAATAACATCAGGTTGACATCTATTTCTTACAGGTTGTTTCTCTGCTTAACTGTTTAATCTGTTCTGTCATACTAAAAACGTCAATTTAGTTTAGAATAACCTCAGTTAAGTAATCAGACAGGTTATGTTATATTTTTGTTCTTTGTCCTTGTTTTGTAATAATAATCACTTTTTTCTTTCATTTTTTTTTTGCCTATTTCATCTGCAGATGTTTCAGATTTTGTTAATTATTCTCCCTTCTTGCACTAGTGATCACTCCACTACCTGTTTATACAACATAATCTTCAATACTTCAATGTTTTTTTCAGTTCTGGTAAGATTCTCCCCTAGCCATCATCTATCTAACTGGTTTAGTTACTTATTTTTCTTTGTGTGCCTTTTTTAGGATTTGCAACTATTAAATAAACATCTGCTTCACTATATGTTAGGAATCCAGTTTGTGTGGCCTGTTTGTGTTTCTCCGTTTTCCACCACTAGGAGGTGCCCTGTCTTCGCTGTCCCTCCCTGCACACCTGCGGCTCATTGGATCATTATCAGGAGGAGTATTTGAGCAGTGGACTGTCACTACCTCGACCCCAGAGTGTTTGTCAGTTTTGGGTACTCTAGCCAAGCCGAGCTTAGCTGAGTCTAACCTAGCTTTGTTTCTCTGAGTCTAACAAGTTTTTGTTTTTGCTCCCCGGCAGGAAGCTTTCCTGTGTTACTGGATTCCTGGACCTTCTCTCCCCTGGAAGGAAAAACCGAGTTCCACTGAGCAGGGGAAGACCTCCACATGCTCCGTTCAAGTACCCATTGGAAATCCGAGTGACAGTCCGCTCCATTACTCCTCCGGGTCCAACGCCTGTCAACCTATCCGCCCTCCAACGTGTGCGCTATTCTCTGGATTTACCACACAGACAGGATTCAAGGACTAACGAGCCCTCCCTCTAACTTCCGGGTTACCAGCTCACTGAGTTCCAGATGCAACTCCTGTTTTAAAGGAATAGTACACCCAAAACATGATTAGCCTTCATTTTCTACTCACCCCCATGCTGAACAACACTCTGGAGTACTTTTTTGATATCTCAAATGCATCTGGAGATCTGGGAGGCTTCTTGCTGTCTGCTGACATTCAAATAATGGAGGTCTATGGTGCCCGAGACAGAAAGGTCCATAAAAGTCCACAAAAAACGTGTCAATATTCCTCCATACTGCTCGTCCAATGTATTCCAAGTGTCCTGAGTGGGTAGCATCCAGAATTTACTCGAAACGAAGTCATTTAGAATGTTTTTAGAGCATAAACAGTAGTGTATAGGATTTCCTGAAAGCGCGATCATGACGCTACGGAAGCCGGCAGACCAAACCAGCGCATTCAGCTCGGCAAAGAACTCATGCTCTTCCTCAACACTGAAGTCCTCAGACATTTTTCTTTCGTTGTTTCTTTCTTTGCACAGGTAAACAGCACATTTCTTCTTCTACGCTTGCATTATTGGCAGAGCAGACGCTGAATGCGCACTTTCATCTGGTTTGGTCTGCCGGCTTCCGTAGGGTCGTGATCGTGCAGGCGCGCGCTTTTTGGACCTTTCTGTCTCGGGCGCCATAGACCTCCATTATTTGAATGTCAGCAGACAGGAAGAAGCCTTCCAGATCTCCAGATGCATTTGAAATATCAAAAAAGTACTCCAGAGTGTTGTTCAGCATGGGGGTGAGTAGAAAATGAAGGCTAATCATGTTTTGGGTGTACTATTCCTTTAACCCCTCAATTAACCTGTTAAACTTTTTCCCTGCTCTCTGAGTGGTTTCTCTGCATGTGGGTCAGATTCGTTAAACCGATCATGACACTATACCTCCCTGCATTATGGATTTAGGTAAACATCAACAATGATCAAAGTGATCTCAGGTCCAGGTCTACTTTCTAACTATACAGAAAAAGCTGGAGAAAATATGCCAACAGAGGAAGTAAACCTTGAGGTAGATGGAACCATACTTTGCTGGTTCAAACTACCCGTGAACTGAAATACTATAACTATGTGGCCTAAGGTTGGCTCTCAGTGTAAAGAAAACTTTTTTTTTTTGCAGAAAACAAAACAATAATCTTTGATTTTCTGCGTTGATGAGAGGTTATAAAATGAGCATTGCCCTACCAACATTTTGGGTAGCACACTGCTTAGCGGTCTTTCTTTCAGCTGAGTAATTAGTAAAACAGTTGTTTAGAGAAAACTTTTACTCTCTAAAATGGGCTTTCCTGTTTTTTAATCCATTGAGTTGATTTAAAAAGAAAATCAATTGGTGTAATCAGGATGCTTTAGAATCATTAGTTTAAGTTTTCCAATGGATCATTTCCAAAGGGTAGTAAACTTTTTGTACAAACATGAGTAAAAATATAAGGAAAAAGAAAACCCACATCGATGCCTCTTGCAAACTCTCTTATCTTGTAGGAGAAGCTCATGCGTTATCTTATGAGGAAAAAAAACTTGCTTGTTGAACAAGATTAAACTTAAGTCAAAGTTTCCCAGGGTGTAAATAACTTTATTCTTGACTGTATAAGGAATTAAACAAAACAGAAATACTTCCTCTTGTTCCACAGTGGGGAAATTGATCTGTGTGAGAATGAAAACATGCAGGTTCACAGATAAACTTTAACAAGCTTTCATAAGTATGGGCATTTTGAAGGTATTGCCACAGGAAACCTTTCTGTCTTAAAAATAAATACAACCATTGCTTGTACTTATCATATTGGCCAGGCAGACTAACTTATGCAATATATATTCAATACACGCAGGCAGCCTTGGCTGTAAAAAAAGAAAAAATAGTGCTGGCAGTAGGAAGGAGGTAGAGGAGGAAGCAGGATGCTGGTCGTTAATTTAGTGCAGGGACCTTTGTGACATTCCTAGCCACTGCATAGTTATACGGTTTCCCACAATCCTTTGCATGACAGTACGTTTAGGCACACCCAGTCTCACAAAGTTTAACAAAAATAAATTCTTTCCTGTTATGTAGTGTGATACATTGAAAATGCATGCACATTCATATTCATTAGGTTATATAACGAAGAGCTTCTGTGGTTTGCTATATTTGTGTAACTTTTGTTTTTTGTAGTTCTTTTCTGGAAGGTTATAGTCCCAGTTTTAGATGCAGCATTGCTGTGCGTCCGTTGCTCAGTGACGTCTTAGACTTCTTTTATTGTCATTTTGTATACACAGTGTGTACACAAAAAAAAAACGTCTGTAAGGTTGAATGCTGTTCAGATTTAACAAATCAGTCCAGAGCTACTTTCATGCCGTAGACAGTGTTCTTACTGTTGACCCATTAAAAGGTGCAGGGATAAGGAAAAGGAGGTAGGAGCGACTTTTTTGGTATTAAGAATCCGTCTGATTAACTTACCAGACCAAAGCAGCACAGGAGGCGGAAGTTTATGATGAGTCACTTTTAGCACCAGAATTACCCATAATGCTACAGGGCTTTTTTGCTACCATAACATACTAGATGGCAGCCACAACGAAGCAATGTTCTAATGATACCATTAATTATGGCTGTCAAAACAGACGTTTTTGTGTCACCTGACTGTGAGTGCTAATAGTCTTCCGTCAGAATAAACCATAAAATTTCCAAAAAAGAAATGCTACCTGGACAAATAACAACTCTGGCAAAAGCCAAACCCAGCAAATAAAGACAGACCCTCCCAACTGTCAAGCACAGAGTGGAGTGATGATAGTTTGAGTTTACATAAGCCCCATTTATACTACCCTTTTGAAATCGTGCCGAGATCGGTCTGAGCACTGTAACTGAGATAGCTGTTGAGTGTAAATGGCACGCAAAACTGAAGCGTACCGTGCCAGACAGAACTGAACCGCACTTGTTGAATGCCATAAACAAGTATATATAATATATATATATATATA